CCGTGCAAATAAAATGACAGTTCCTTAATTTTTCCTTTTCCTTAACTTTTTCATGGCGTCCGATTTTCCCTATGCGTTCCCCGGAGTCTTGTGAGAATTCTGGGGCTCATGGCCAGGCCTGTGTTTAAAAAGGGGGCTCATTTGCAGCCTGTGCATTCTGGGAGTTTTAAACAAATGTCCTAGTTGCAAATACTGACACTGTTAATTCCAAAACATTTAAAAGCGGAATCGGAGGCTCACTGTTGGTGTGATCAGAGCATGTCTGGTGTGTGTGAAAGTGTTGATGTTTTTTTATCTTTATGGGTAACATGCTGGACAGTTTCTTAGAGGGGGGTAACCTGTCTTTTCATGTCTGCTCTTCCTGTTTAAATGTGATGTAACCGGGGCATTTGAAGAAGAGCTGTCAGATTACTGAACTCTACAACTGACTCACACTGATATTTTTATTCCTCTTTTCACACTGCTTGTCTGACTTGTATGTGATTTAACTTGTTGTTGTTGTTGCTGCTGCTGTTCTGTGTTTGAGTTTTTCCTGAATGTTTTTGTCTCGGAGCCGACATGCAAATTTCACTCGTGCATGCAGCTTAACGGAACTGAAAAGCTAGATGATGTCGACGCCCGACAGAGCTCGGCCTGCCTCACAGTGTTGTCTTCCTGCTGCAGTGTATTCTGGGACCTGTACTGTGCCGCCCCAGACCGGCGGGAGACCTGCGAACATTCCAGTGAAGCCAAGGCCTTTCACGACTACGTGAGTGACGGCTCTTCTATCCAATCCAATCGCAGGGCGGGGGGGCGGGGTGTGGTCGGGTGGGTGTGGCTGTTGTGTTGATTAGGGTGCATACTGTTTCCCCAACTCTTGCCAATTTAGTAGGTTACAACAGCAACACAAATCATGTAAATTAACTTCATGGTGCTCGCTCAGTATTCCTCAAAGCCATAATGCAGACCCCCAGGCACTGGGGAAAGGGTTCCGAAGTTTGTGCAAGTGTGTCCGGGGGGAGTGTTTCTGTCTGTCTTGGTGTATCGTGCTGTCCTGCACAAGCTCTGCAGTGGTCGGTCTTGCCTTGTGGTTGTTTCTCAAACGCCGGTGGCCCCGTAGTTTCTGGGTGTCTTGATCGTGCAGCAGGTCGGAGGAGTTCCCTGAGGCGAGATCCTCCAGTGCTTCTCCTATCTCCTCTCTCACTCCGATAAGAGCTGCTTGGCTTGCCTTGTGCGTTAGTCACAGGATGAAGAGATCCCAGCAGCCCGCAGACTGATGTTTTGTATATTTCTGTGATCGGCTGTGATGGGGTTCGGAGGGGGGCGGGGGGCTCTATCAAGGTAAGATGCTGAGTGAGCCACCTGTTTTGTGTTGCCGCAGTTTGAACCGGCTGCCAGCCACCGTGCTCGTACCTGCGCAGCGCGGCCGAGAGGCGACGCAGTGCGCGACTGGGCTGCCTCCTTCCTCAGCTCTTCCCGTCTCCTGCCTCGTGGTTTAGCTCTCCGGTCTCCCAGTGGGTCTTGGTCCTGGGCTCCAGGCTGTGCCCAGACACTTTGACCTCTCACCTCTGCCTCCGCCAATGCAGGAGTTCGGGGAGCGCTGTTGCCCAGGTCTGTCCCCTTCTCATCAGTCATATTATTGTGGCTGTCTGGTGCGGGGCTCCGTTCTCCAGCCCCAGGGGGTCACGTGCAGGAAAGGGTGAGGATTTGAAACACGCTGAGCTTCTCACAGTCGCGTGGCAGAGGCAGAGAAGGGTGTCTTGATGAGGTGGCGCGTCCTGGCCTCAGAAGAAACATGTATTCTTGGCTCCGAGCCATTTTTCTTCAAATAAGACGCAAATGCAGCTCGTGTAGC